GATAGCGTCAGCGGCTTCCATCAGCAAAACTTCTGGCACAATGGCTGCTGGGTGGGTGACTGGGCAATGCCGCGAGGACCCGGTAGGCGTGGATGAAGAAGCTGGCTGGGAAGCCGTGCTCTCCTTCTAGCCTTGGGACTGCCAACCCCAGCATGCCCAAGGACAGAGGAATTAGGGATTGGGCCCAGCCAGGTTCTGGTTCTTCTTGTGGAAGGATGCACTGGCTGGCCTGCAGGGGCGTGTGGAGGAGGTGAGTCCCCACTGCGCCTACTTGCAGGGGGGTGGTGCAGGCGAGGCATGAAACCCATTGTGTGACACCCGTTGCGGGTGCGGGCTCTAAGAGAGCTAGGGGGGTGGACACAGAAAGCAGCTGTTGACAAGCAATGGACTTGTAGAAACGTTATTTTGTAGGGAAGTATATCGGTAGCCCAATTTTACCCTGGATCTCGGCATTCCAGAATGTCGACATAAGTGGTCTCCAGGTAACTTTCTATCCAGATTAAACTGGCAATTAAGTGTGTTGTCACTAACTACTGCACATTACAGATGCTGGCAAGTTTGGAAAGACAACAAGACTAAAAGTGGTACCAAACCATGCCTTGCCCATTTACTAACACGTTGCTTTGTCCTACATTTTACTACCTTACATGCTGATGTTATCACCTTGTACCCTCTCCTTCACCCTTCAGTTCCAGGAGACCCATGCAGTAACAATAGCTACAAGGGCGACCAGGATTTGTACGGCATGAACCCGTGTGGCCGGTTCCCATGCCTGAAGACTACTCAAGGCCATACATGCAGCTGCGTTATTCCTCAAGCTACGCTTCAACCTTTTGTTGAGGTTGACAATGGAATTGGCTCCAAAACCTGTGCTTATGGTAAGCAATTGCTGTTGCGTACAAAGTACGTGGTCTCTTGGTGCCCACTGTGGCCGAGCGGGCCCTGCAGGCCGAGCTCGTGATGTTACATGGCATGATAGCCCTTGCTGTATCCTTGATTTTTTCTCACATGTCCTATCCTTATGCCTTGCTTGTCCCTATGTCCCTCATCGCTCAATCTTACCTGCTGCCTCCAATTCATGGAATGTACATCACTCTGATGCCACTGTGGCAGTGGACGTGTGTGGGTCGTACTTCAAAAACCCCTGCTACGTGGGCACATGCATCAACGATCTCAAGGGCTCCTACTCCTGCATCTGCCCTCCCAACTACATTGAGAGAGTCACAGTCTACGGCTTCCCCACCTGTGATCCAGGTAATGCTTCATTGGTCTGAGTCGTTAGAAATGGGACCTCTTCTCCCCAACCCAACCTTACTCTTCTTCTTTTCTTTCCTCCATGCCTTCTTCTCTCTTTTTTCACGTTCTACAACGAATTCTACAACCACCAGCATGACTGTTACTGGAGACAACTGGCAGTGCTCGGATGTAAATGCACTTGTTGGCATACCATTGGAACAATTCAGCAACATCAATACGGTAAGAATTGAGTTTGTGAGTGAATACCTACATGGCTAAGGTTTTGTTGGGCACGCCTATCTGGTTCTGATGTTTCTTCATTGCGCCACACCTCGTTTTTTTTTATTTCTCAAACATCACTTATGCTTTGTGTTGGTGAGCAAGGGAGTATTACTACAAGCTCGCAGTCATGCCATTTCTTCATGCAAGTGTTCCACAATGCAGGAGATAGATTGCAACCAGCCATTGGTTAAAGGCAGTGTCCTTAAGTTGGATGGTGCTCCTAACATCCCCTGCACTGCTTTCTTCTACGCCCTCAACGTGAGACGGGGTGGTGCCGTTTTGATTTCACCTTACCGTGGTCTTAGGTTGTATCCCAGCCAAGTGTCAAGAAGTTGGTGTCATGACACCAACTCATTCTACGCACGCGATTGGTCCAAAAATAATGCTCTGCCAATGCTATTGGTCTAGCGTTATTTTCGGACCAATTGGTGCATAGAATGAGTTGGTGTCATGACACCAACTTCTTGACTCTTGGCTAGGATACGACCTTACCAGCTTGCCTAGCCAACTTACATCCCATTGTAGGTAGCACCACACTTACTCAAAGACGTGCTCTCTCCATTGTCCAACTTCCCAGGGCGACACCTGTTCATACGTCACCAGCCAGCTCGGCTTGAGCTTCGAAGACCTTGTTAAACTCAACCCCGGCCTCAACTCTTTGTCAGACCTCAATGCGGGCCAGTCAGTGTGCGTCGAGCGCAGATCTGCTTTCGCCTACACGGTCCCCGAGTGTCTGAGATACGATACGCTGACAACGAGCGACACGTGTGAGGTGCTGCTTCGAAGAACCGCCAAGGAGCCGGGTGGGGCTGTCACTGGAAGGAACTGGGCTGAGCTGTACCGCAACAATCCCGGCCTCTCTTGCTCCAGCACCATCCCTAGCAACATGGAATGTGCGGATTAGTTTCTGGACAAAACAGGGGAGCTAGGGGAAGGGGCTACGAGGTTGTTTGGCAGAGTAGAGAAGCTGAAGTGGGGATGTGAAGGGAGGGAGAGGAGGGAGTGCAACGCGGGTTACAATCGTAATCCCTAGTACGTGAGTTCTTGATAGGGCCAATCCTCTTGGGACTTGGGGATTACCAGTTTTGGCACTACTGTATCTGCTAACAGCCCATTTCCTGTCAAGCCTTTCAATGTTTTTTCTCTGCTAATCTGCAGTATTGTCATGGTTCACTTTTCACCTTCGGCATTCGTGTCTCCTTTTGTGCCAGATTTTTTTAAGGGCAAAGTATTGGTCATTTACAGCAAGTGTCATTTGCAAAAAAGGCAAATGCAAGAAGGTCAACATCAACGATTCATGTTCAAGAGTGCTTGTTACAGGTAGATTTACAAGTGATGCTCAGTTCGCAGAATACAATGGCAAGAGTTGCTCGGGTACTGTAGGTAGCAAGTCCATATGTGTACCTAGTTAATACCTAACTATATAGAGTCGTCAGAGTTCGTGTGATGATTGGCAGATGTCATTTAGAGAGATTAGTCCTATAATGTGCTAATGTCCTGTCCTGGTACGGTGTAATTGTGTGTTGCTGTGATCCTTCCTAAAGCAGGCGCATTTGTTAGATTGGAGCATGCACTAAGGGTGTAAGGGTGTGCTGCATCGGGGGCAAACCTTTGTGAGGGGTTCTGTACGGTCTTTTATGGCAAATGGTCAATGTTTGTACACGCAGCATGCATCACAGCCTTACCGTAATCCCCTGTATTTAAATCCCGCTTAAAAGCACCCGTAGGGGGCTTATGCGATGAAGGTGTTTATCGGCGAAACGCGTAATAACATACCCTCTATTCTGGAGTCCCAGGAAACCATCATCCCCACACTCCCCCCCCCCCCCCCCCCCCCCCCCCCCTTCCCCCCTTCCGCCTTCTATACTTTGTCGGCAAAGGCCACTATGGCCTCCTCGCTTGCCTCTAGCTTGCTGTCATTGAGCTCATCCAACGCATACGCCTCCACCTTCTGGATTGCCTGCGGTGGATGGACGCATCACAATGGCACGAGGCGAAATATATGTTTGCTCCATTGCAGAAAAAAAAAATGACATCTAATGAGTCTTTATATGCATTGCGCATACCCAATCTTTGAAGTGTGACTCGTAGTGAATCGGCGTCGAGCCAGTTAGCAGATCCGAAAGCACGATGCCAAAGCTGCCAGCAGGCGAGAAGAATAACAACATACACATTTTTTTACATAGGTTAGAAGATATACATCAAGCAATTGCAAGAATAAATAAGGCAGGGATGTTCATAAACATTTATTTCAGAAGCAATCCAACCTGAAGACATCGCTCTTGGTGGTAACCAGCGTGTGCGATTATCATCAGGGTCCACATAGCCAGGAGTACCCGCCACTCTGGTCTGGTTATCCTGCTCGTGAGTGATGCACTTCAGCAGCCCAAAGTCAGCGACCTTGGCGTGCATGTCGGCCGTCACAAGGATGTTGGCGGGCTTGATGTCGCGGTGGATGATGGGCGTCGCAAAGCCATGCAGGTATGCCAGCGCATCCGCTGCTCCTTGCGCCAGCCGCAATCGCTGCCGCCGTGAGAGAGGGTCAGAAAGAAAGAGAGAAAATAGGACGTGCAAAGAAAGTGGGATGCTTTAGACCATGTAAAAAAGTGGGTGGTGTGTTTGTGTTTGTAAGTGTGTATCAGTAAGTGTGAGTGAGAGTGAGTAGCTGAGTGTGTGTGTGTGTATGTGTATGTGTGTGTGTGTGTGTGTTATTCTAACCTACCAATCTTGGGAAAGAATGTAACTCAATGTTGGAGCACTCTTTGTATAACTCAAGAAGGTAGGTATAACTCACTCTTAGTCTTGAAGATGTGATGCTTCAAGTCCCTCATACCCACAAACTCGTAGACCAAAATCTGCCCTGCTTTTTGGTCTCCACATTCTGATCCACACAGAAGGCCAGCAGCTGCACCAGGTTCACATGGTTGAGCGTTGCCATGGCTCGCACCTGCAGCAGATGATGCATTCAGAGGGCAAAAGAGGAGAGGTTTAGGTCTTGGATACGCCCAGTGAACCTGCGCCTATGTTTCTAGGGGGGATTTGGTCCTTGCTGCGTGTGCGGATGGCGCACCAGCAGTGCATGTTGCAGCTGTCCTAGCTCGGGCCTCACCTCTCTCTCAAAGGCCATACAAGGGCCTCACATCCCTCTCCTTCTCTTGATGGCCCACAGCTACCCCTGTGGCGAGTACCCTTTGTACACGACGCCGAAGCCGCCCCTCCCCACCTCGTTCTCCTTGGCACCAGTTGTTTGTGGCCTTCACCATCTGCTGCAGCGTGTACGCTCAAACGCTTCCAGCCACTGCCACTTCCCTGCATGTATCCACACGAAACACACATGATGAAGTATGGGACAAGTGAAAGGTGGTGGAGAGATAGGAGCGGACGAATGGAGGCAGGGATGCAGCAGTGGAAGAGGAGGGCAGGAGTTCAAGAGTGACTCGGCATGGGTGCGAGGTTGTGGGGGTCTCACTTGGTCCGCGGGGCTAGAGTAGCCATGTGAGCACAGCTGCCAGCAGAATGAAGCCAGCAAAGCAGCCCACCGCAATGCCCACTATGGCGCCCGTGGAGAGTGAGGACACTGCGGAGGAGGAAGGGAGGAGGATATCACAAGAGCACTGGTTGCTGCCAAACAGAAAGCTGGGGCAGACCTGGCAGCCGGCAGCGAGGAGCAGCGAATCGCCGAAGAAGAAGTTGTGAGCCAAGTTGATGAGGGCGTCGCCATCCGCCACCATGCTCTTGAAGTTGCAGTTGATGCGCCCGTACAGGCTGTTGCCGCTCACATCGCTGGGGGGAGCAGGGGGAGCAGGGGAAGGGTCAACAGTTGTACTCACGCCCATCTTAGAGTGAGCACAATAACCAAATCCCTTAATTTCAAAAGAGCATGGCCACAAGGTCAGCTGCTTGCATACACGTGAGCTATATAAGCACATGAGGGAGTGGAAATACCGTGCCTGAACCTGGAGTCAGCAAAGAGTGCGCAGATTGTTCGTCTCAAATCTGGTTGACACACTTGTCAAAGATGCACTTTGGCAGGGGACCATAGAGGTAGTTGTTGCTCATCAAGCTGCCAGCACACACCACTCAACACATGGCACACGGCACACGACACATGGCACACAACGCAGCTGTACCTCATCAATGCAAGCTCTAAAAAGTAGCAGCACGAGAGTTGATTCCACACAACACTTTGCCACCTCCCTTTTTATGAGTCAATGTGTGGTGTGCTTCAACTTGATTGTTGTGTGGTGCTTGCCACTCGTTGTTCACTGTACTGCAGTTCATGACGTGCTCTATGACTTACAACAATGCAAGGATGGGACTTGCATAGCAGCTTAGCACTACAACCTACCACACATACATAGCATGCATCACATACAATTGAGTCTACCTCTTCTCGCTTCTCATGCTGAGGTCGGTATTGTCTTTCCATTTTCACTATGTGTACCATTGAGGACATGAGGTCATCACTGTTGGTAACAGTTGTCTCCCTATGCGTACCTTGATGATAATTATGCCTTGCAATAACTGTTCGTGCAGCCTACCTACCTACCTAGTGCTCTGATTGAGGCAAATGTGCAACATGTGGCACCATTCTCTGGGCTGGTGAAGGCATATAAACGCACATAGCTAACGATTCAGAGGCGGTGCACATCGTACTTTCAAACATTCAATAGCTTCACCTTCCGCTTTCATGTGCAAAGCTACAGTGGAAGGAGGAGGAAATAATAAAACATTGTGTGCCATGCAATGCGCCAGAGCCACTGCAATGCGCCACAGCCACTGCAATGTGCCACAGCCACTCACATGCGCCACATTCACATGTGCCACAGCTCGGGACCCTCGATGCTGTTTGTTATCCATCCAGCTGCAGAGAGAAGGTGGGGTGGGAGTAGAAACTGGAAAATCATAGAGGCACAAAGAGGGAGAAGCAGACACAGATACAAAAGTCACAGACACAGAGTGACATCAAGAGCGAGAGAAGTTCTAATCAGTGGCTTGCGACAGAGTGCAAGCAATTAACACTCTGCCTGCACGCCCACGGCCTGTCTCCCCATCTGCCCTAGGAACTTACGGCCCTGTGGAGTATACTTCCAGCACACATGACACTGTTTTGGTATTAATTTTGCAATTAGCAGCTTGCGCCATTGGCCGAAGGCTACGGGCACTCGATAGCACAGCCTTTGGCCACATACGAGGAGGCGACAACACCAGAATAGCATTGGAGACAACACACTCTAACAACAGCCCTTTCCAGCATCCCCGTCACACTTGCCCTTTCCAGCAACTACACCGCGGTTAGATCAACAAGAGAAAGTGGTGACACGCACCCATCAACCACATTTACGTCTAGGGTGTCTTTGCAACGGGTGTCTCTTATAAATGGGTGTTCCTGACCTTAAAACACATGTACGTCTGTACGAGTACTGTTTAGGGGTAATCTTATAGCGAAAGGGTATCTTCCAAACGGTTCTTTTTCCATTTTATAATACTATAAGACTCCCTAAACCACCCCAACTACAAGACAAACCAAGCACTTTTTCTAGTGTATAAAATAATACATACATTTCTTATATCCTGGCGATGACGATAGTAGATGAACATGGAAAGCGATCTGCAGCTTCCATGTGGACGGTAAGCGCAAGCGGAATGTTACTGTGTCACCTCCTCATCGCAAAAGAAACCTCAGAAGCGAGGCCGGAGTTTGGTCGGTAGGGGACAAGTCCAAGTTGCGTGCGTCAACAAGCGCCTGATCTCCGACTGCTACTGAGAGACCACGTCTCTGTCGATCGGCATACTGGTTTTGGGAGTTCTGCGTCGTGGAGAGATGTTGCTGAGTCTTCTCCCATAGCATGGTGGTGATGAAGTCTGGCTTGGACGTGTGCCGGTGTAGTTGGCTGCTGTGGTGTAAGTGGTTCCCGTCCGTAGCACAGGAAGAAAAAAGATTCTCCTGTGGCTGCTTGTGAAGCATTGTTGTAGGCGAACTCAAGCGTCAGTAACTGTATATCTTAGTGGCTGATGACGTCTTTGCAAGCTGTGCGCCGTGTCACATCTGAATGAATGTGAAGGGTAAGGAAGTGCGTAAGGGAGGTTGTATATACCGTATATACTGTGTATAGCGAGTCGGTGTATTGCGAGGATGGGAGCCAAAAGGTCAGTTGGCGTTTCACGAAGCGAAGGGCAGGGGCAGGATGCTGCCGCTTGCCGAGCCTAAGGGTCGGAGGATTGCATGGGCAAGAGCATAGGTGGCACTTACGTAAGCAGGACGGTGATGGCTGTGGAAACAGTGTAGTGCAAGGCAGAGGCAATAGGGAGGCAGGTGTACCATCAGCTGTGGATGGGTGTTCGAGTGCATGCCTATTTGTTTTCCTGTGTTTGCAGGATTGGTTCAGGGAGCCAGCTGGATCTGGATGATTGGAGCTGGAGGCAAAGTAGCCAGGGCATGGAAGGGATGGCAAGAAGCAGCACAGCTTCAAGTCTACACGTAGAGGCTCATAGCCACTAGTGTAGGCTAGGATGATGGGACAGTCCGATGGTGGAGGGAGCGCTGGTAGAATAGTTGGAATCCTGAATACAATCCTCATCGATTGCTTGTATGTTTCCCTTTTACACGAGTGCTTTGCTTTAATCCGAGCAAGCAGTGACATTAGGGAGCAAAGTATTGGGAAGCTTGGGAGGACGGGTGATATGTGTGTCAAGGAGCTTAGAGCTCATCAAGGATAGTGAGAAGAAGGGCACTTCAAGGGAGGAAGGGACAAGCAAAGACATGCACAGGCAGGAGAGTGCCGTGAGAGAAGGAGAAGAGGGAAGAGGGATGTTCGGGAGTTAGGGGGGAGAGAGGTGAGTTGTTGAGCAGAATGCGAAGTGAGGGAGTCAAGTGGAGCAGAGCACTTCAAGGGAGGTACAATAAGGGGTGGATGAGTTTCCGACAGTAGTAACTATTCAACCACATAATTGAGTCTCTCCATCTATGCGTCAGTCCGACGGTGGTACGCTGAAGACATTTCAAGTTTTGTCCCCAACAAACCTATGAGTTCCCTCCACAACTTACTAGTGAACTTGGGGTCTCTGTCTGAGATGAGTGTAGTGGCGGATGGTGATGATGCGGTCAAAGAAGAGGCGAGCAGTTGGTTGTACAGTAGCAGTAACGTTGGTTAGAATGATGTGACTCATTTTCGAGAATTTGTCGATAAAGCCTAGCGATAAAGTATAGGCTAAAGGCTTGCATGGCTGCTCCGGTATAGGTAGAGGCTAAAGTAACGCTGCTTTTTTTCTGCTTTCTACTCGTCACCCGCTGGCACGTGTCGCATGAGGTGACAAAATGCTACACGTTTGTTGCCATCCGAGGCCAATAGTGATACTTCACTATCCCTGCTAACGTTTTGTTACTCCCAAAATGTCCCGCGTGTGCTACGTCATGAAACTCCTCCAGGAAGATCTGTCGTAGGTAACACCTCCATGCCTTGAAGGCTGTGACTATCGCTAAGGCTTCCTTGTCATGGATTGTCTAATTCAGTTTTGCTTTGTGTAGCTTCTTACTGAGCTAAGCAATAGGCTGCAAACTGCGTCTGTAATCTTGCATCAGTACTGCTCCAACTGCCTGGTCACTAAGATCTACTTCCACCATGTGTTCTCTGTTTGGGTCCGGTACGATGCGTACTGGCGCTGTGGTAAGTGTTGTCTGTAGCTGCTCCATGGCTTGTTGTTGAGGAGTATCCCATATATATGGGGTATCCTTTTTCAGTAAGTTCGTCAGTGGCGCTGCTATCTTAGCGTACCGTGGCACGAACCTGCTGTAGTCGTTGACGAAGCATAGGAACTGCTGCAACTCCTTCTCGTTCTCTGAAACTGTCCATGTTTTGACGGCTTCAATTTTCCGTGGGTATATGTGTATACCTTTTGCAATCACCATGTGCCCAAGGAACTGCACCTTCTTCAGGGTGAAGTTGCTCTTTGACAACTTCATGAAGAACTCATTTTTTCACAGGGTCTTGAAGGCTTTCCACAGATGCTCCACACGCTCGTTCATGTTTGTGGAGTAGATCAATATGATTTCTAGGTACACTAGCAGGGGCCGTAGGATGTGGTTCATCTCCGCCTGGAACGTCGCCGGTGTGTTGCAGTGTTCGAACGACTTCACTAAGTACCCCTAGGATTCGTATAGGGTACAGAACGCCGTCTTGTGGATCGAGTTGTCTGTCATCTTGATCTGCTGTTAACCCGACCGTAGGTCTAGCCGCAAAAAGACTATTGCGGCTTGCTATTGTTCTACAAGATCGTCTATGTGCTTTATGGGTTATTGTTTTTTTAAGTCTGTTTGTTCAGTGCCCGGTAGTCGATGCACATCCGTAAACTACCGTCTGGCTTTGGAGTGAAGAAAACTGGTGCGTCGTAGAGAGGGGAGTGATCCATTTTCTATCTGATGGATACTTAATCTGTTTCTTCACGCCTGTCAGTTCGGTCAGAATAAGGCGGTATGTTGCATAGGAGAAGGGTTTCGCACCTGGTTCCTCCTGATCTCGTGCTCGTTGGTTTGCGCTGGAGGCACCCCTGCAAGCAAGTCAACTGGCATGATGTGCTTGTATTCCGTAAACACCTCCTGTACTGCTGTAGGTAGCTGCAAACTCAGCTTCTCCTCCTCTCTTGCTGCCATAACTAGTGCTAAAAAGCCCGTGTTACTCTCGTTCACCGTCCGTTCGATCCGTGCCAGTATAATTTTCGGGTACATCTCATGTAATCGTCCATCTTTGCACCTCCACTCGTTTCCCGTTGTTGTATATGTACACCTTCCGGTTGACCCAGTCTATCTCGGGGTTGAACCGCTTCTAAAAATCACGCC